TTCAATTTCATTGAAGAGTTTAAACAGTAGTGGCAGTAGTTTCTTTCTAAATGTCTTGTAGAATTCAGCAGTGAAGCCATCAGGACCTGGGCTTTTCTTAGTTGGTAAGGTTTTAATTACATTTTTTTTTTTACATTTTCAATTTCATTGATTGATATTGGGTTGTTTAGAATTTCTAGGAAATTCTTGGATCTTATCTCTAGCCATTGAATCAGAAATTATGGAGATAGGGCTCAGAACAAGCTTTCTAGGTGATTTTGATTCCTTTGAAGATTGAGAACTAGTGGTATGGGTGATAGCCAGATCAAGAAGGCCAGGAGTTAGATCCTGGCAGGCAGAGGACCAGCCTTTGAGATTCCTGGGGGAAGAAAAGAGAGTGACTAGAATACGAACAAGTTCAGTAAGCCAGGACCATAGACTGGAAGAGGGTCTTGGAGTACAGGAGACAGGGGGGAGATTAAGCAGGGAGAAGGCAGGCTGGTTTTGCAAGCCATGTTAAGGTTGTTTAGGTTTCATTTATTATAAATATTGATTTATACATAGGTCTCCTCAAATGGAATGTGGATTTGAAGGCCAAGGTGATGTTTCCATCCTTCAGAACACCCTTGCTGTTCTTGGGATGGAATTGGTTTTCAATAAGTGCATGCTGGCTAAGTGAAATTGTTGGATAGTCACAAAAGTCTTATGTAATAGGCATTGCTCTGCTTTGAGGCTAAGAGAACAGGAGTTGCTTCCTAACACAGCAAGACCAATTGGGCAGTTGAGAAGCAGAGGTGTTTCATACATCCCAGTCTTGAGCCAGAGATTTAGCTCACTGGTTCTGCCACCTGCCTCGCAAGCACGACATCCTGAGTTTGATCCCTGGTATCCAAAGAAAAAAATCCCCAAGTCTTTGTATTTTGTTTCTAGAATCTCTTCTATATTCCATACTATTTTTGTATAAATGAGTGCCGATATTGAAGAAAATATGTATGAATACACAAAATGATAATTTAAAACTTGGTATGTATTCCAGATGCAACTATGCTTTCCTTTTTTTTTTTTTTCCCAGACAGAAAAGGGGAGTGCCCTTCATGAAGCAGCTTTGTTTGGAAAGGTGGATGTCGTTCGAGTTCTGTTAGAAACAGGTACCTATTGTGGTGCTCCTATCCTGCTGAATGCTATTTCTATTTCAGGAATTGATAAAGGAAGTGATGGTTTTCTTCACAAGTCATTCTTCCTCTCTTCACTCTAAATTGCAGATACGTATTCATACTACATAGAATTGAGCATTGCTGTTAAGATAAAATTCATGTAAATATGCACCTTCCTTTACTCAATAAATGTTCTAGTAAAAAGCTATTGGAAATTACTATTTTATACATTTAAATACACTAGAGAATCTACCAAAAAGAAAAGGAGATTTCTGCTTTCTGCACAAAGGAGGAATTGATCCCTGAGAAATGATGACAATTGCTGGTTTATTGAAGAACACAAAATTTTTCCTAGATTTTTATCATGTGAACTATGGTCAACAGAGATTTGAGTTCCCTCTCCTTAAGGTAAATTCTCCTTCTAGTTACTTCAAGTGAGTAGCTATTGTTTTTTGGCTACGGTGACTAATTTTAAAGGGCAACTTTTAGAAGCAGTCTCTTGAGGGAATAAGAAAGTAAGCTTATTTATTTTCACATATATATTCTAACGGGTTGTGAAATAAAATTGGAATTGAGGCCAGATTTTTTAAAAGATTAAAAGACTTGAGTAAAAATTTATACTCGTAAACAGTCGATGTGGATCTTTCATATTGAGGACTGTGGAATATTTATTTTCCTCTAAAAAATGAAATGAAAAACATTGGCAGCCTATTGTGACTGTGCTTGCACAAAGTCAAAGTGTATATTTAATTTTGACATGGAGTGCAGTGACATAATGAATGATTTGAGGCAACCAATGAGATACATGCTAGTTACACATCCCAAAACAAATTTAACCAAATATTTAATAATATGGTGAACTGTCATTTGAGACAAGATTCTACAAACTGTCTTTGTTTGTAGTTAGGTGTTTGGAAAGTTCATAAACTTTTTTAGGATAGTGAAATCTATTTGCTACATTAAAATAAGTTCTTTAATATAAATATTTTCAGAAATAAAATAACAGTGGTGTTATTATTGGTTATTATGTGGTGTTATTGTTATAATTGGTTATTATTTCAGTAGTTCAAGAGGTTTGCCCAGGTAACTGGTGAATATGGTAGACATTGAACATCATCTAGCATAAACAAATTTTATGAAATGTTTAGCTTTGTATTTGGAGAAATTTTCTTTGAATAGTTATTCAGAATTATCATGCTTTTTCAAAGTTTATGAATGCTCAGGTCTTCTAAGCATGTTTTTATATTATTTACATAATACATGATTTTCATTTATTAAACATTTTTACTGTATTATACAGAATATCATATTATTATACTTTAGAAACTCACTTATAAATCAGTAATATTTCCCAGTTTGCTAGTGTACTGTTCAGTTAGCCTCTATATCCCAAAAGTGATTAGTGGGTCCTGGAAAGCAATCATAATGATTGAGTCAGTGACCTTTAAGAAGTAATTCGCTATCAAGAATATACTTAGTTTTTGATAGTAGTAGGTCGTCCATCTCCTTTCTTGTTAAAGTCTTGTGTGTTGTAATTTAAATTTTGAAAAGCACTTTCAGTGCTTGGTCTATGCATGTTTGAAATTAGAGTAGTTATATATTCACAGTATCTTTTGAGGACACTCCCAACAGTGAACATCAGTGAGTTTTTCTTTTCTTTCAGGAATTGATGCCAACATAAAGGATAGCTTAGGTCGAACTGTCTTAGACATTTTGAAAGAACATCCGTCTCAGAAATCTCTCCAGATTGCAACACTCTTACAAGGTAAACAATATCGAATGATGGAGGAGTTTTCCTTAAAATCAAGATTAAATTAAAACTCTTATTTTGAGCTTTGAGTTAGTGTTTACTTTTGAATGAACTTATCATTCTGGCAGATTTTAAAATCGAATAACTTTCTAAATGTTTTATTTGTTTTTCAACTCTTCAGTAGTTTTTTTTTTAAAGTTAAAGTATCTATTCACTACTTTATACTAAAATCTCTTTAAAATCCATGAAATAAATATGTCATTGTGTGCTTGAATGACCATATAAAGTGGCAATTAAGATTTATCTTATATTTGAATAATAGTTTAAGACTCTTGGGAGATTTTTATTTCTTTCTGGTTTCTATGATTATTAGGTAGATAAGCCAGATGCTAGTCTCTTTTTTGCACAAGAGGGAAACTGGAGCTCTGAGAGATGTTTTGTTCAAACTCATATATCCTATGCTAAGTAGCATTGCTAGTACATAAATACTGAATTAACAGTAGTGACACAGTAGTTGAATCTGGCTGAATACAATTTATTTCTTCCCTACTCTAGTAGTACAAAATTAATTTTACTAGCCTCTGTTCTTGATAAAGATCATTTTAGTACATTTGTAGTTAGTTGCAGCCATTAGGCCTATTGATGATTTGAAAACGATCCAGGCACTACTTTTTCATTTGCAGAATTAAATGCTTCTCAATTTAACCTAAAGCTTTTATGAAAAATTTAGATTTAAATGCTTTCTCTTTATGATTGATCTTTAGGCCTGGCATAGAGTATATTACCTTAAAAACCTAGATGTTTTCTTTCTCCTCTCTAGTGAGCCCCTACACTGTTCAGCCATTGTTGCAGATTGACTGTAAATATAATAGAGGAGGAAAGCAGGATAGATTTCATCAGGTATATGTAGTCAATTTTCCATTGCTGTGACAAAATAGCAGAAGAAAATCACTTAAAGATGTTTATTTTGGTTCAAGGTTTCAGTCCATGATGGAATGGCTGCATTGCTTCTAGGCCTGTGGCAGGGGAGAAGCATTATGGCCAATGGGCATGGTGGAGGAAAGCTGCTCACCTCATAGCAGCCAGGAAGAAGAGGAAGGGGGATTGGGGGACAAGATATATTCTTCCGGGGCATGCCTCCAGTGACCTCCTTCCTCCAACTAGGCTCCACCTCCTAATAGGTCCTAATGGCTGAAGCCATTGATGAGGTTACCACCCTCTTGATCCAGTCACCTTTCAAAAGCTCCTCAGCTCTGAACACTGCTGCATTGAGGACCAAGCCCCTAACACATGAGTCTTGGAGGACGTATCACATCTAAACCATAACAGAGTATTGGTTGGGAAACTGAAGAACATAGTCTGTAGGGAAATAAATGAATTAAATTCAAGTAGGGCAGGCCAAGAAGGAGTATAAAGAGTACATGGCCATTATGTGCCCTTTTCGATTTTCAAAACCTTTTAGGTTCCTTCAATTTTCTTGTCCTTAGAGAAATTAATTGGAAGTCAAATGCATACAGAGATGAGTCAGAGAATCCAACCATAATTTTTATATTAATTCAAATTAAAATCAAGTTGACTAAAAGCTAAAAAATATTGCCTCACTGTTCCTTATCGTTTGCCTCTATGCACTTATATTTTGCATTGGATTTTTGCCTCTGAATGAACTTAAAGGTAAACTTAAGCTCATGTCTGTTATGTCTTTTGGGAGAAGTAAAATAAATGCTCCTCACTATAAAGGGGATGGACACAATTTATAGGCATTTTTTACATATTGCACTGGTTCAACATAGATGAAAATGTTATTATATAGGAATAAATGGTTAAGATTCATTAGGTATGTCAATTTGTGATAGGGTGTATTGGGCATCTTTGAATTTTTCAAATTACTGGCAAATTTCTGAATGTAAAAGTATTATATTTTCTATATTCCTGGATTTCAAGTCTTTGATTCATTTTAAATCTAAGTATAAAGTTTTCTTATTGAAATAAAGCTGATTTATAGTGGCTAAAATTATTGTTTTACCAAATTGCTGCCCAAATTACATAGTTACAACATGGTCCAGATGTTTTAAGGATAGATTTCCACAGATTTTTCTCTTTTCCTATTGGAATTTTCCTAGTGGAATTGCCTTTTAGTAGAAAATATTTGAATAATATGCAGACACAGGTTGTATGAGAGTACCAACTTTCTCAATTTTGACAAGTTCCTTTTAAATAAAGAATATAAGCAGAAGATCCCAGTGGAAAGGGATCTGTTTATTTAATTTTTTATAAAGAGGCTATAAACTAGCCACATGTGGGCTGATTACTTTTTGCATATAGGATATATATTTTATTTAGATTACATATTTTTGGTCCACACTGTTTCCATAAAACTTGTAGTAACTGATAACATTAAAAAAATTCTGAATTTCAGTTAATAGTCCTAAGTTTTGGCTTCTCAAAAAATACACAAAACAAAACAAGGCTTTCGTTTTATGTCACTGCTGAACTTTGGATGGAACACCTGCTCTCTGATTAAATATGCTCTATGTACTTTCTATTCTTCCTGTGACATTCAGGCTGTTAGTTGACATTAATCCCTGCATTCAGTTTTGTTTTCCTTCTTTTGTTTTCATGTCCCATGTCTTTCTGGCTGTACCAGTTATTAGCTGTATGAATATGGGCAAGTTAAAAACCTCCTTCTTTAGTTGTTATTTTAAAAACTGAGATAGTAATGGTGCACATGTCATAGATTTGTAAGGATTAGATGAGTTAATTTATATGAAATATGAAAAGCTATGCTGGTTATACAGTAAGCATTATTTAAGTTTTCATTGCTGCTAATATTTTAGTGTCTTTATCAAAAAAGAAAATGAAAGGATGAGTATAGGGCATTACTGCATGCATAATGGGGATTAATATCATTTCCTTGTGAAAATAGTTTAGTTTGCAGATATGTTTATCTACAAGATCATAGAACCAGTGTAAAATAAACTTATCCTATTTCATTCATGTATGTTGCTGGACTGGTGTTATGTTCTGAATTGAATATCAGTGTTTCAGGAATGATCAAGTCTGTTTAAAGCACATCTCAGGAAGTTTTATTTATTCATTTATTTATTTATTTTTAAAATTTTATTTTATTGGTACATTTTAGGTATACAATGAAATGACATTCATCATTGGAAATTTGCACCTTTACATAATCTCTCTTGGTTCTTAT